GAGCTTCCCGCCCCACTCTCTGCGGGCCGGGCAGCGGGGGCGCGTCCATTCCTCGAGCGGGGCCCCACATGCAGGGTGACAAAAAAGGCGGCCGCTGCTGCAGCCCTGCGAACTGGAGGGAGAGGCCGCCTCCCTCCCTCCCTCCCGAGGGGAAGGTCCCCTTGGCGCCCTCTTGGCACCAGCCTCGCCGCGGATCACGTGGGGCCGCCCCCGACCCCTGGAGAAGGGGCGCCAAGGAGGGGGTGGGGTCAAGGGGAGGCCGGGCTGTGGCGGGGGCGCTTACAGCTTTCCAGAGGGGACCCCCCCACACCGCCCCTCTTCAGGAGAGCCCTGCCAGTGGGCCAGGGTCCCTCCAGTCCAGCCTCCCCTCTCCACACACAGGGGGGGGGGCCCTTCCTTCCCGCCCTTGGCCCTCTTCCCTGGTTCCCTCACAGTCCCAACTCCTCCTCGCAAGGCCATACTCCCCTGGCATCTGTCCCTGGTTGTAACCGCACCCGTTGGTCCCCCCCCCCCCCCCGGAGAAGGGGGGGGCGGAAGGGAGGCCTGGCCTCAGTGTCGTCTGGAAACAAAGAACACCCCCCAGGGTGATGAGTGACAGGGGTGAACACGCGTGTCGTGTAGAATGTCAGTTCCGGGACAGGGCTGAACCGGGATCCCACAGGGGCCAGCCAGCGCCTCTGGACGCCCAACGACAGGGCAGAGAGGCCGAGGCCTTCCCCTGAGGCTGCCTCCTGGCTCTGGGGTTCAGAGGACTAGTGCCACCCATAGACTTCTCTCCTCCAGGAATCCATCCAATCCCCTTTAAAGCTGCGTGTTCCTGTGGCCATCGCTGCATCCTCTGGCAGCCAACTCCACATTTTAATCACTCTCTGTGTAAAGTTGCATTTCCTTTTGCCTTTCCCTGCTCATCCGTTCCACTGGACGCCCTCAAGTTCTACTGTTTTGGGAGAGGGAGAAAAATGTCTCTTTGCCAACACTCTCCACCCCATGCATGATATCATAAACTTCTGTCATGTCCCCCCCTTGGCCGTCTCTTTTCTAGACTGAGAAGTCCCAGAGACTCTCCAGCCTTTTCCTCACAGGGAAGGTGCCCCAAATAATCTTGGTCACCCTCCTCTGTACTTTTCCCAGCTCTGCAGTGTCGTTTTTAAAGATACGGTGACCGGAACTGTACGCAGTATTCCAAGTAAGGCTGCACCACAGATCTATACTGGGGCATTACAATCTCGTCTGTTTTATGCTCAATCCCTTTCCTAATAACCCCTAACACAGAGTGTGCCTTCTTCACCACTGCAGCACACAATGGGGTTGGCACTCTCATGGAGCCACTGCTTCCTTCCCTCCACTGTGAGACCTGTCCATTGATTTCTACTCTTTGCTTCCTGTCATTTAATCCATAAGTGAGGCACCTTGTCAAAAGCCTTTTGGAAGTCCAAGTATATAATGCCTACCAGAGGTCACTGCTGTCTACATACATGTTGGCTTTCTCCAAGAACTTCAAAAGGTTGGTGAGGCAGGACTTCCCTTTGCAGAAGCCATGCTGATTTTCCCTCATCAGGCACTGTCCCTCTAAATGCCTAAGAATCCTGTCAATTTTTTCCTCTCCACATTGACACAGAGAGTACTCCATCTTTCTGTATTATACCTCTGAGGATGCCAGTCACAGCTGCTGCCAAGACCACGGCCATACAGCTTGGAAAATCTACAACTAATTCTGTCTTTGATTTCAGTTTATACTAATTTGCCTGGGACAGACATTAGGCTGACTGGCCTGTAATTTCCTGGTTACCCTCTGGATCCATTTTTAAAAACTGGTATCACATTTGCAACTCTCCAGTCTTCTGGTACAGCGGCTGAATTTAGTGATAGTGATATATGTAACCTATCTCACATCCAAGTTCCTTCAGAATTCTGGGGTGTATGCCACCAGGACCTTGATTTTTTTACTTTCCCCAATAGGTCTTAATCTCTGGTCACCTCAATTTGGCTCAGTTTTTCAGATTCCCTTCAGGAAAACGGTGGCTGTGGCCTGGGGTTACGTGCCCCACACCTTCCACACTGAGCACAGAAACAAAAAGGTCACTGAGCCTCCTTGCCATCTCCCCACCTTCCTTTAGCAAATCTTGTATTCCTTGGTCATCCAAAGGCCCCACTGCTTCTCTGGCTGGTTTCCTGCTCCAGATTTATTTTAAAAAGTGGTTATTGTTTCTCTTGATGCTTTTAGTAACCCGCTGTGTTTTGCTAAAATCTGTGGTCCCCCCTGTTCCACTCGCTGGCGCAGACCTTCCACTTTTTAAGAGAAGCCCCTTTACTTTTTATAGCTCCCTCGACTTGCATTGTTAACCACGCAGGCCTTCTTTTAGACTAGGCAGTGCTTTTCCTGACCTGTGGAATGCATTCCGTTTGGGCCTCAATTAGTGTGGTTTTAAATAGCCTCCAAGCTATTTAAAGCTCTTCCCTCTCACTACATCCAGATTTTCATGAAGATGCACTGAGAGGTGTTCTCTGGGGACTCTCGACATGCCCCCAGCGTCCTTCCAGACGGAGGCTCTGAAGCGGTGGAAGCCCCTTGGCCACCCTCCCATAACCTGCTCTCCCCCCCGCCCCCCCGGCACAAACACCGCCCACTGTCCACGCAAGCAGGCTACACGTCCTTCTCCAGGTTACCCACTTCCTGAATCAGATCTGCCAAGCAGCAAGAGAATGTTTCCGCTCGCAGTTCCGGGGCTTGACAGAGTGTGCCGGGGAGGCTGCGGAGCGCCTGGCTGGCTCGTCTGGGCTCCTGGCTCTGGACGTGAGTGGCACACAAGAGTCCAGGCCCAGGTGCCCAAGAGTGATTGGGTGCTGGGGTGGAGGGTAGCCAAGGCAAGAGCATTTGGGAACATGGGGAAAATGTAGAAAAATGCAGCCAGGCTGAAAACGCACAGGGTGGTGGGCACGGCCTTATGAGACGTCCAAGAGAGGAGGCAGGCAGTCATTCCAGTCTGCCACTTAAAAGTTCGGGGGACTGGGTTGCTCTTGACTGTTTCTGTCCTGTGCGAAAGATGCTCCGGGAAGGTTTGATTTGATTGGATTTATTTAATTTGTTATCCTGCCCTCCTGGCCTAGGCGTGACAAGTGTCCTTGGGAAAGGACAGGTTCTGCCCGACCTTGCCGTTGAGAGTCAGTGAACTGCTTTGGGTTGCTGATTACATACAAGGAAGCCATCACCACAAACACCCATTTGCTCCTCTTGGGACAAACAACACACACCCAGAAACCAGAGGTGTAAACAGAGAAGAAGAATGAATTAAAGTAAAGTAAGACCTCACCACGCCAGAGCCCCCCGCACTAACAGTTTCGGTCCCATTGGGATGGAGGTTCTCTGCACCAGTGGGGGTGTGCTTGGGACCAAGACATTTAACGGCAAGCGTGAGTTGGCCCTAGATTCCTGTCAAAACACAAGCAAGACCTGCGCATGACCCTCCTGCACTTCCTTTCAGGGCACACCCTTGTTGCCCACCTACGTTCAGGCAGGCGGAGGTCTCCGTGTGCCTCCAGCACTTGCCTTGGAAATGCCTGGAAGGAGGTCATCGAGAACAGAATCTCTCTAGCCATTAGCAGTAAGTGACTCTTGCATCTCTCCCAATAATTGGTTTTATTGCTGCCATGAGAGGATCTGAATTCCATTAAGGGGGCAAAAGTACTCAGGGCAGGAGAGCCCCCCCCCCCGGATGCCATCAGTCCTTGGCTAGTTTGCAAAGCGCCAGGTGGGCCCCCGAGGGAGGGGAGGAACCTCCAAGCTCTTCCACGGGATTGCGCAGGGCAGGGCAAGAGCGGCCCAGGGGCGGATCCCGTTGAGCGTCACCCTGGGTCCTCTAATGGCCGTCCGGGCCTCCCGCCTGGGGCCCTCAGCAGCCGCATTTGCTCTTCTCTTTCTCCTCAGGGAGCCGCTCTGTGGAGCTGTGGCCATTGGACTGCACGACCCCTTCCGGGATCCAGGACTTGTCCACACACCGTTCCATGCGCTTCATGATGAGGTCCAGCAGCGTCTCGATGGCCGCGCTCACGTTGGTCCCGCTGGCCGCGCTTGTTTCGAAGTACGGGA